TCAGGGGGCCTGGGGGAGCCGGGAGGGAATAGGGCCTGGCAGAGGTCCCCGCATGGTCCCCTCCACCCTCCTCCTGCCTCCCTTCCCCCGCCTGCTACTTACCAGCTCAGAGTCCAGGTCTAGCTCCCTGCTGCAGTGGGCGGGGCTGCCCAAATCACTGAAGCTCTCCGAATATTTTCCAAATTGATCTGGAGAGCTTTGAACAGATTTGGACATTTTAACTGGTCTCCTGATTTGATTCAGATTTGGAGGTTCAGCCACTGAATCCAGCTGAATCTCCTCTGAATTGAATCAGTGCCTGAAGCTTCGCACAGCCCTACTATTTACCACTGGCCTATAATTCCCCAGATCTTCCTTCTTCCCTTTCTTAAAGGTGGGCACTACATTTGCCTTTTTCCAATCATTTGGGACTTTACCTAGGGTGGCCATCATAGAGGACATTCCAGTTTTCTGCTACTCTGTCCTCTGCCCTCTATTGATACGAAACCAGATGCCTTTATGTCCTCTATTTTTCTCTTCAAGAAAAGGTGTCCAGTTTCATATCAATAGAGGACAGAGGACAACTGGACTGTCCTCTATGATGGCCACCCTAACTTTACCAACCCTCTACGAGTTCTCAGACTGGATAGGCTAATAGCTCTGAAATTACCTCAGCCAATTCCTTTAGTACTCCACATTGTATCCCATCAGGCCCTGCCAATTTAAAAGCATGTAACTTTTCTAAATAATCTTGAACCTGTTCTTCTACTACTGTAGGATGTTTGTTTAGGATCCTTATCTTTGCTGGAAACCCCCTTGTCATCTAGTAGCTGCCCCTGTTTATGAAGGTGGAAGTAAAAAAGGCATTAAATATTTCAGCCTTCTTTGTATAGAGATTGTAAGTAGATTGTAAGTTGATCTCATAAGTAGATTGCCTTCTGCATTCTGTAAGGGACTTATGGTTTCTTTGGTCTTCCTCTTACTTTTGACATACTGTTTTCATGTTACTTCCTAATCCAATAGACCATGGAAAGTTAGTTCAAGATAAAACGGCAGCACTAACTGATGCTAGGTTTTTATGGTATATGCCTTCCACTGAATCTATGCCCTAGAGCTGCTAGCTATAATTATTCCTTTTAATAAGTAATATGGTATGGGGACTACCAGCAGCTATGCACTAGTGATACAACTTGCCTTCTAATCACTGCTCCTCTTTGTGCATGCTCTGTGGCCACACTTTGGTATAACAACCACACATTTATTTGTTTTCAGCACACTACATTGAGAGAGGCACAGTATGGTCTTATATACAAAGACTTTATACTTACATATTCCCAAGTTTTAAAGTGATACAGTTGGAAAGCTCCTATTTCCTTCATGTATCAAGTCTGTAGGGATCTGTGACTAACATTCAGTGTCAGATGACACAATGGTCCTCTAAAGCAGGAGAGTGTAACTTCTTCTATTTTTAAGATGTCGTTAATCTCAGAACTGCTTTTATGAGAAACATAAACCCCTGAACTCAAGCTTTGACAGGCAGAGATTTGTACAGTTTACCTCTAGAATGTGCTCATGTTAAGAAAGTGCCCTGCTACATTTGGCCCCGCTTCCCTTAGGCACTTCTCTTAGGCAGTGCCTGCCCTACTTGTCCACCTACTGTTACACAACTGAGGCCACATCCACAAGCTTCTTTGTGGGGTCACAAACCACATGCATGAAATGTTAAAATGTGCCCCGTGCTGTAAATTTGCAGCATGGGGGCAAAATCTGCTACCAGGATTTTCCAGTAGCAAAAAAAAGTGCTGGGAAAAAAGGTGAATGAACAGAGGCTTGGTTCTTCAGTGAGACACTCTGTCTTCCTGCCAGAGCATCTCTAAGCTCTATTTGTGCCCCGGCTGCTCCAGCATGCTGGAAGGAGCTGGGAAAGGGCATTTGCCCACTGTGGGACAATGTGCCCTGCAACAAAGTGCACATGTAGGGGTGTGCTCTGAGGCAAAAAGTAGCAGCAGAAGTTTGTGCTGCTACTATTTGTGCTACTGCAACACATGCTCCTGCTCATCTGGATGCAGCCTAAAGGGAAAAAGCAATCTAAATGAAGCTACTGTAAGCTGGATACATAATGCATACTTGTTTCAATGTACATCAACTTGCAGTCACTATGAATCTGAAGACAGAGATATTTACGCCTGTTTTCACCCTGGAAAAATGTACATATAACAGCACTATTTTTGGACAGCTGAGTTTTATGCTACAATTTACAAGGATGCCAGGAGTTTTATCTGAAAGGAAAAATGATTCTTAAAGAAATATGTCCATTCCCTAGTTCTTAAACAAGGCCCAGTCTACTACAATTAATTTTACTTCCTGAAATCTCAGATCAGGGATGCCCAGTGAAATGTTATGTCTCACATTCTAAGGGCTGATGAGATTGCCACCAACTTAAGAAGACATGTGGGACTGAAAAAGGGTTCTACGCAGCAGTTACTATCTATAACTGCTGGGAAACTGTTGGGGGTAAGTTCCAAACATTTGCTAAATCTTAAAAGGCAGGAATTGAGTGGCCTGTAAAGGTCCAAACCATTTCCATTCCAAGTCTGAAATGTTTTGTCTGTAAGGTTTGTCTGTCATAAATGAAAGTGTCAGGAAAGGAAACACTGGAGAGAAAATGGTAAATTCTATCCACCACAAGTGAGGTTTTCAATGGACTAACATGTACAACAAACAACCCTGAAATGCATGTGAACAAGAATCAGTGGTCCTGTGCAAATACATGGAATTAATTCTCAAACTTAGGATCTCAAGTGATCAGTCTTAGGCAATGATCCATACCCATGAATACAACTACTTTTGTATGCAAGTGATGGCAGGATTGAGGCAACAGTATATAAAAATAATATATAATAAACACAGGAATGAATTGACCAAGAAGCTGCAAATGAATATACATACCCCAGCCCAAAAGGTAATACCAGTGCAAACGTTGCTCTTCAGCAAACACTGCCACCACAATTAGAGTGTGAAGATATATGCCTTCACAGAGCATCCAGAAGTAATTGCAACCCAGCATGTACTGATGAAAAAATTGCAGCACCTTGCAGCTTACCTGTCAAACAAATTAGATAGTATTAAACTATAGATAATTTACCGCAATACTGTATCTTAGCAAGCAAACAAAATATCAGGTTTTTCCCTTAGTGCTTGATAGAATTCCTTAGTAGCACATATTATTGACAGGGCTGTAAGATATCAATAAATCAGACAAATGGAGTAAATGCACGTCATAATTCATAAAAATCAAGTGCAATGAGCAAAGCTCAAGCAAAAACTATCCAGTAAAACCACACTTCGAAATGTTTTCAGTTTGATGGGGTTTAGAATTAAAATAAACAACTTGTTCTTAAAATCCCAGACAAATGCAGTAAAGAGATAACAACTTAATCATCTAGGTAGTGTACTGTGGTTGTATTCTTTACCTTTATTCAAATTTTTATATTACCTTCAATCGGCTTGTCTGTTTAACTTAATAGCTAATTACTCCCAAAGCTGTACACGTTAAGGGTCCTATTTCGGATACCTACAGTATGCCTATACCACTAACATACTATGCCAAGTGGTGCCAGGCTGAAATATGTCAAATTTCTCTGGATGTGTCTACATGTGCAAATAATCTGGGAGCAGTTTATTCTAAAGTACTCTAGAGCAAACTCTCTTGGGTATGTGTTTACACGTGTAGGGATGCGGAAGCAGATTTGCTGCTCCTAGCAGTAGACTGTTTCTGCTCCCTGCACCCCTTTACTGGACCCCTGCAGCAGCCAGGAAACAATCTCCTGTCCCTGCTGCCCAGCTGCCCAGAAGCACATTTACTTCTGGTCAGCTTTCTACATGTTGCTACTGCACAGTATGTAATCAACAGGAAATATGCTGCTTGCATTTGCAGGTAGCAAATTTACTCACAATTAGAGCAAATGACTGCAGAGTAAGCATCTGCATGTGTAGACAGTGACACGTACTGCACAGTAATTAGCTCTAATCTCAAATAAAGCATCTTGCGTAGACACACCCTCTGTGTGTGCTATCCACAGAGCCAGAAGTAGCATAGCCATCTCACAGTGGTACCGTAGATAAGTAAATTAGCTCTTCACCACTTATTGAGGAGTGTACTACCACTGGAAGCAGTGGGTGTTTTTCCCAGGTGACTTGTAAGAAATCTTGACCAGAGCCTTATCAGTATGTACAGTGCAATTGCTCTATATTTTTATATAGCAAAAAACACAAGAAAAATAGAGACAGTGAAGTAAAAAAGGTCAGGACTTCCTCTGAAAAGGATAGAGGTGTGAGGTTCCACTCATCTTTGTGATCTCTGTACAGAAGCTGAGCCTAATTACAGTCTATT